ATAGCCCAATAAACTTTATGTTCAAGTTCCACAGGCAAGTGACAAGGTTTTTTATAGACTAGTCTATAAGGTGACATAACTAATGATGTTTTATAAGCAATTCGATAAGCCCAAAATGCATCATTAAGTCTTAAAGACCAATCTTTTCTATTAGGGTTCACTGTTTTCTTCAAGATCTGTTTGATCTCCTCATTAGTAAGTTTTACATGTCTACTTGTCTGAGGGTGATAAGGGGTGGCAACTTTGTGTGTGATTCCATATTTCTTCATTAAAGACTCAAATGACTTATTGTAAAAAAGTGTTCCACCATCACTTATCATGGCCCGAGAGATTCCAAATTGACTCAAAATATTTTCTTTTAAAAACTAGATGACTGTTTTATAATCATTGTTATGACTTGGAATTACCTCTATCTATTTTGAAACATAGTCTATTGCGACTATTTAGTAATTGGATCATATCTAGAGTTGTAGATCTTAGATTTAGGTATGCTTTAATGGATAGAAAGTTAAGACATAAGTCTAAAACTTTCATGGGAAAGCAAGACTCAATTCTGCTATTTGGAAGTCCAAATCTTAGCAATAACATAGAAGTCTGAATCTATCTTGTAGCCCAGACACTATTTAGTGTTCAACCTATATCTCAAGTTCTAAAAGTCCAAATGACCTCAATTTTTTTTTCTGGAAAGCTCAGACAACTTCCTAGAACTTTCATGGTAAGGGTGGTTTAAATTCTGAAGTTATCAATGATGTTTTATTCAGACAAGAAGATAAGGATTGTCACCAATTTAAGAGTTGGTCACCTACTCAACAATTAGTCAACAAATCAATAGTTTGCAATTTTTGCCTATAAAAGGAGGCATTTGTCATGCATTTAGGCATTTTGGTTTTTAGATCAAGATCATGCTCTTGCTTTCTCTCTTTGCATTTCTACAATGCTTAAGTTTTGCTTTCATTAATATCTTATTTATGCCTTTTGACACGACTAAAAGATTAATGTCTTCTCCCAAGTGCAGGAGTGTCGAAGTAATAAATAACCCGGCAAGACTGGGGTCGAACCACAGGGAGGTTAATTGTACAAATTATAAACAACAATTATAAACAACAATAATAGTAATAACAACAACAATACTAGTAGTAGTAGTAATAACACTAATAATAATAATAGTAATAGTAATAGTAATAGTAATAGTAATAGTAATACTAATACTAATACTAATAATAATAATAATAATAATAATAATAATAATAATAAAGAAAAAGAAGGAGAAGAAGATGAAGATGAGAACTTTGAGATGAAATATTAAT